AATTTATTCAAAATTAATGCTTATGGCATTATTTTACGAAGTTATAGGCTGTTAAAGTTTTGAGAGAAAAACAAATCATTCGTTATAAAAAAAATGAATATAAATTCGTCATGTTAAGCATTTTTTTGCAGTGCAGTCATTCTGTTATAAATCACATGCAGCTTGATAAATAACCATGCATCGTGAAGTAATTAAAATACTTACTTAAGGGTAATTAAATAAGCAGATGATGGAAGCTAATACGCATACCAGGTAAAGAGAGGAATTGAATAACCAAATACTATAATGAAGTACTTAAATAACCGACACTACGAGGTAATTAAATAACTATATAATTGCAAGGTATTTAAATAACCAGATATAACGAGGTACTTGAATAACCAAATAGTACGAGGTACTTAAATAACCATATACTACGAAGTAATTAGATAACCAGATATTGTGAGGTACTTAAATAACCATATACTACGAAGTAATTAAAAAACCAGATACTAAGAGGTAATTAATTAACCACTTTAACCACTTGCAAGCAGAATGATGCTTCAAACTAGTTTATCAATTCTATATTGATGTCGAATTATTATTTCATCTGTATTGAAGCACTTTATTTTCCAGGGGCCATACTTTCAAACCTCGCTAAGTGAACGTAAGTACATACGCTCTATTTTCTTATCTATGATTGGTGGATTTAGCTTGAAAGGCCGTCAACGATTGGCTGATGAACTTGCGATCACTTAACTTTTTTTGAAAGTATGGGCCCTGCTTTTCATCAAGTTAACTTCAAAAAAAAGCCCGTATCAAAAACCATGTTAAAGACGCAGGCTGTCAAATAATTTTTGATGCCGTTGACAGTTATTTTGTGTTTATATTCGTTTTTAAGTTGTGTTACCTAATTGAATCAAATAACATTAATAGAATTAAACCCTAAATTTAATAATCAAATGCCAATAAGGTGCCGGTAATTATTGATGTACATGAATAATTTTATGGCATCTCAAGCCAATTATGGCTTAATGGTTTTTGTTGGCGGCTACTTGTTAGTTTCATCCCAATAGCCCAGATATATAGGCACTAAATATCGCTTAACCAGAGAGCGTTTTCAATTTTTTCAACTAAATATTATAATTAAAGCTCGCAATTCGATCGCAAATCTTTGCTAATTCATGCCATTAATTTATTTATTTTTTTAATAGGGTCCTGAACTGAGTATTTAACGTTTAATTGAAACTAAGAATAAATTTTTTAAACTACGCTTATATTTTCGTTTTTAGTGTATCTAACTTTGGAAAGCTTAACTTTAAACTTACCCCCTTGAAAGACAGTTTATTTTTATTTTGATGACAAATTCTATGTTTAATAATTTGTCGCCTGCACATGGTTGCTCGTGCCACTCAACTGCGCACTGCGGTTTTCTTTCGCTAAATTTGAAATTCTTCTTAACCGAATATCAAAGGGAGGTAATATTTTTCCAAAAACAATGTCAGTCCGATATAAATCATAAAGCCTGAAATTTAGGAAAATTACTTTTCATAATCCGATAATGTTCGTTGATATGTTTTAAATTATTAGCCACCCACAATTATGATGAAATGATGAAGTTAAACATTGCTTCATGTCTCCCAAAAATTTTTCGATACACAATAGTTTGCGTTTATTAGTGGCATCACTAATGCAGTTGTACAGAAATTTATTGATTTTTCGTAGGGTTGAGAAATTTTTGATGTGGAAATTCCTGAATTTTTTGGAGTTAAACCTTGTGCACAAAATTCGTGAACATGATGATGAAAATGGTATAACATTAAAAGTTTAATGCATTCAATTTTTGAAATGATGTTATGATTGTTCCTTTGGAATAAATTTGTCATAGAGAAGTCTACATATCGTTCTCTGCTGTTGTACTTGAACAGACAAACACGTGGACAATTGCATCGTAAAAATTACTGTAGTTATCGGTTAATCTTTATTATAATTATTGTTCGTTTTCACAGTAACCACGATTCGCTGAATCTCACATCGATGCACAAACTAAATTTTCGCTATTCTAATTCTTCATATGAAAATTCGTTCTAATTTCAATCAAATAATTAAAATAATTCGAATTTCAAGAAGAATCTTCATAATTTGCATCATTTTTACCCCAGTACACTGTTAGAAAAAACGGTGAAAAAACGGTCCCACCGGCGTTCTAGTGACCGGTCGCCCCGTGAAAATAAACGGTTTCTCCGTTATTATCAGATGTTTTACGGTTTTCTAGTGTAAAATTAGAATAAAAACGGCGACGCGATGTTTCTTTTCACGTTCCGACCGGTCACTGAAACGCCGGTAATACCGTTAACGGTAATTTTTCTAACAGTGTACAAACACGTCTTCATTGCAATCCGTGGCCCACGTCCTGACGCCAATAAATGTTATGCAAAAAACTGTCTTCCCGTTTCCTGCGTTCACCCCATCATTGGTACCGCGCCACACCACTAATGGTTTCCCTGCACACCTCAGTGTCGGTAACTCCTTCTAAATACTCACCGAAAGCACCTTCTTGATTAATTACCTGCGAATATTGATTACCTTACGCCATCTTCCTATTACCATATGCTTAGGGTATTAGGCTCAACTCGCATGGCTGTGTGACATTCAATTTAATAATTAATACGTTCGTACAAAAATAGGACACATCGCAACGATAATATTGTACGTAGCATGTTTTAAAAATTCTGTTTGGCTGAAACTTCTAATCAAAAAGTACGAAAATTTTATGTAGATATTTTGTGTAGATATTTTGTGTATATTGTGTATATTTGTGTAAAATGATTTTTCTGACCCAAAATGTCGCACGTTCGACTCGGCTACAAATACCGAGAAAGTGAACGAGTTTTTTGCTCGCTGAATTCATATGAAAATAATGCACATCAATGAAGTATTTACCGCATGGAGAAAAATGAGTTGTGTTTTGATTTTTAACGGCGTTGCTTTTGGGTTTATGATGATTTTGATGATTGGTTAGATTCAATAGATGTTTAATGATTCTTTAAATTAATTGGGTATTTTGTGCGCAACAATTGCAAATTGGCACGTTTTCTCTTCGAATTATAGACGCATTTCACGAATATATGTATATTTTTATATAAGGTCACTCTAATCCGCACATTTACATTTTTATCTTTTTCTTCATTGTTAAATTTTTCAATTTAGAAATGTAATTCATTTATATGATGCCAAAAAGTTCATATAAATAAAAGTTGATGCCAAATTCGTCTTCATTAAAAATAAATATAATTTACTTCTACTTATTAAATAAAACAATGTTTTCCAGATAAAAATCAGTTCTATTTCGCATTGTAATGAAAATCGTATGTCGGGTTTTCTATTTTCCATCTAATATTTCCATCAATAATCAAAGCAGAAGCTACGTACTTCTGCTTTGATTGTTAAATATTCATCTCTTTAAGGATTATATCAAATAAATCTGGTGCTTTGAATACATTTATCTTTTTCAACAATTTTACTTGTTATATATATTTTGTATGATTGATGCTGGACCAGTGCTATGACAGGTGGCATTGTGTGTGTACTTGTGTACTTTTGTGTACTTTTACACAGCTGTTCATACTCAGACATATACAGGCTTCCCAACTACTCTTTTTTATACGTATTGTTTGTTGTTTTTAGATTCTTTGAACATTTAAATAACAGAAACAATTTCTTCAATATTTTATGTGTAAATCATACGCTTGACCTCCACCTACTAAATATTTTCAAAAATGTAAGTAGCGATTTTTGAAGTTTATGTAAAATAAAATAGTGAAAAGAACAGATATGTTCGCTGAATTTTAACCGAAATTTTTTCTTTAGCTGGCCAAAATTCTGATATTTTATTCATAAAAGGCGTTTTAAATTATCGGGCTCCATGACATACTTGCAAGCATATGAAGGCTTGTGTTCTAAAAACGTATTTGCTACTTAACTAAAAATATTCATTATTCACCTAGCAAAAATATTTACCCTAAAATAATTTTTACCCCAAAAATAAGAATTTCCATGGCCTCTTTCAGTTATTAATTATAATTATGGATATTACTGATATCTGAGTAGCATTAGGCGATCCCCATGCAGCGATGTTCAAAATAACTAATAATAAGGATTTCCACTTTAAATCTTTCATCATTCAGCAATTATCGAGAATTAATCTTGGAAAAGAATAAAAAATTATATATCAGAATATTTTCTTGCATAAAAAAATAAAATTTGGTCTCGTATGAAACAAAATCTTGATTTTCTTCATTAATTTCAAGTACGCATATCAGCAATACTTTGTTTTGCTTAAGAAAAAAAACCCTCAACTTGAAAAACCCAATAAAGAACTTTGCAACTTTATTTCGAAATTAAAATCCTATCTTTAAACAGAAAAATATTGACAAAATTATTTATAAATATATAGACGCACACTCAAATTTCAAATTTCTATTCTATTCTATTCTATTCTATTCTATTCTATTCTATTCTATTCTATTCTATTCTATTCTATTCTATTCTATTCTAATCTATTCTATTCTAATCTATTCTATTCTATTCTATAATTCTATTCTATTCTATTCTATTCTATTCTAGTTTTTCCGTCAGTAGTTGTGCCGTTTATCCTACGTAAGCGGGATCGATTCCGACGCTGTGCGCTGTACAATGTTATGGAGGCCAGTGACAACTGAGCATAACACGAAACTTAATTTATACGCAATTATCCAGCTCTATTGACCATGCTTCTCGAATTTCAATACCAACGAGGAGTAAAGACAATCACACATCATGCTAATATTCTAACAACGAGACGCTAATATTCTAACAACGAGACGCTAATATTCTAACAACGAGATGCTAATATTCTAACAACGAGACGCTAATATTCTAACAACGATTTCTCAGACTATAGTGACCTGGGCAAAGTGTTCTCTTATACGTACTGTCAAAGTCAAACACTGTACTTTAATAATTCATCAAACACTGAATTTTCATGAAGCGTAAAAGATGNGGTGGTGGTGACGGGTTTGTAGTGGTGCTGGTGGTGGTGTGCTGATGTTGATGGTGTGGTGGTAGTGTGCTGGTGATGTGATGGTGGAGCTGGTGGTGGAGCATGTGGTGGTGGTGACGGGTTTGTAGTGGTGCTGGTGGTGGTGTGCTGATGTTGATGGTGTGGTGGTAGTGTGCTGGTGATGTGATGGTGGAGCTGGTGGTGGAGCATGTGGTGGTGGTGACGGGTTTGTAGTGGTGCTGGTGGTGGTGTGCTGATGTTGATGGTGTGGTGGTAGTGTGCTGGTGATGTGATGGTGGAGCTGGTGGTGGAGCATGTGGTGGTGGTGACGGGTTTGTAGTGGTGCTGGTGGTGGTGTGCTGATGTTGATGGTGTGGTGGTAGTGTGCTGGTGATGTGATGGTGGAGCTGGTGGTGGAGCATGTGGTGGTGGTGACGGGTTTGTAGTGGTGCTGGTGGTGGTGTGCTGATGTTGATGGTGTGGTGGTAGTGTGCTGGTGATGTGATGGTGGAGCTGGTGGTGGAGCATGTGGTGGTGGTGACGGGTTTGTAGTGGTGCTGGTGGTGGTGTGCTGATGTTGATGGTGTGGTGGTAGTGTGCTGGTGATGTGATGGTGGAGCTGGTGGTGGAGCATGTGGTGGTGGTGACGGGTTTGTAGTGGTGCTGGTGGTGGTGTGCTGATGTTGATGGTGTGGTGGTAGTGTGCTGGTGATGTGATGGTGGAGCTGGTGGTGGAGCATGTGGTGGTGGTGACGGGTTTGTAGTGGTGCTGGTGGTGGTGTGCTGATGTTGATGGTGTGGTGGTAGTGTGCTGGTGATGTGATGGTGGAGCTGGTGGTGGAGCATGTGGTGGTGGTGACGGGTTTGTAGTGGTGCTGGTGGTGGTGTGCTGATGTTGATGGTGTGGTGGTAGTGTGCTGGTGATGTGATGGTGGAGCTGGTGGTGGAGCATGTGGTGGTGGTGACGGGTTTGTAGTGGTGCTGGTGGTGGTGTGCTGATGTTGATGGTGTGGTGGTAGTGCGCTGATGGTGCTGGGGTAAGATTGTTTATTATTGTTTCTTCACGAATTGGTGACATTACGAACCAGAAATCGATATTTTCCCAAAAATTCCTTTCACTGGAGGCCAAAAAGAATATTTATCTTATAGTAATTCGTATTAATTTGGCAGCATGTACCCATTAAATATATATTGAACCCGTTTATTACCGATAAGTTTTCAATGGGTTATATTAAACATATGATATTAAAATCTTATAATTTTTAATTGCACTTATGTGTGCATCCCCTATGTATATTATAGTTAATCTTTCAAGAAATATTAAACGGAAGACATTTTTGTTACTATTTCTGAATAGTCTTTAATACAGGTGATCATAGCGATGCAAACTTTTATTCCGAAGATTGAATATAATAACTTAAATAAAAAATGAATATTAATCAATGTGAACGAATTTCTATATATGGCCGTTTTTTAGTAATGTTCATTTTTCTGAAATGTTGAAAAAATTTGAATTTGTGGAGTTTGAATCACAAGGCGTTTAATGTAAAACGAATTTATCTACATTCAGCCCATAGCAAATATATTCATAATCTTTCAGATGCAGTTAAATTCAGCGAAATCTTCGTACTAAATAAATTAGATAAAGAAAATATATAATTAGTGTTATTGGGAATTGAACGTAAAGAAATCGGATTTTCTTTCTAAATAATAAGTTACTAAAACGCATGTACTTTTTCAAATCGGTAGCGGAGGCTTCCAAGTTGTAGAATTCAATTCCCAGATAATTTAACGTAGATATTTATTTGGTTATCAGTTTTATCAGTTCCCAAGTTCACTATTAAAAACGTGTTTTTTCTTATATAATCAAAATAAGAATTCAAAACAAACTTTCCCTCTGTATGTCAATATCACCACGTCGTCCCATCTTGCATATTCGTGTATTTGTTTCGCACTAATTTTGCTTCCTAATTACTAATTTTACTTCCAATTTTACAATTGTTTTGTCACTTCCTAATTTTGTTGATCATCTTGCACGCTCCAATCTCATGCGGAAATAGAAATATTAATGTACCCATGCAAGAAATTTCGTACTAAGTAATATTATGTCAGAAATTATTATACACGGAATTTAATAATCGGTAATTTTATTCAGCCTACACTCTTACACTGTAAAATTTGCGCTTTGAGCTGGTAGAGTTGAGAGAAGGACGCTAACTTTTTTATGATTCTTAGAGAGTAAGATGACTATTATTTAAACTTTGATTTAGAACATTGCATTCAAACTTTGCTTCCAAACTTTACTTCCGAACTTTGCTTTTCAATTTTACTTTCGACCTCTATATTATTGTTATTCATATGTATTGTCTACGGAAAAAATAAAAAGTGATATAGCAGAATGCACACAACATCGCAGTGAGCGTAAGACGCGAGGTTACCGCCCACTGTCACAAATTTCACCGCGCAACTTGCACATTACGCTGCACGGTCACTGGAACACTGAACCACGTAAACTGTGAGATATTAAAGAATTGTATCACAAATGTGTTGGGTTATGCATCACCTTCTGCAACAAGCTCCACTGCGAAACTGATCTTAGTTGCTTACATTTGAGCCTTTTCCCTGAACAAGAGGAACCCTCGAGTTCATCGTGCATGAAACACGCACTCATTTCTTCCGATCTTTGGCACAAGGATTGCGTTAAGTCTGTGATCAAAAGGATGATGATGATGTAGTAAAGATTCGAAATAACTGGCAGCTCAGTCGTTCCATTGCGACCCAAAAGTCCGGTGCTCGACTCTACGTCATCTTTTCGCCTCGGTACCTTTTACGATTCGTTACTCATTGTTCAGTTTCAACGCAAGATAGTCGGATACGTACCGGCATCCTTAAGACACTTTAAGTGAAGCCCTGACCGTGGGTTCGGGTCTTCTTTGTAGCCTGGAAGGTAATGCGAGGTCTGGTCGGTCTCGTGGTGTAGCTCCAGACTGTGTTTGAGGGCGTAAATAACATAGTGCGCTGGGCCAGAGGTCCTCTGCACCTATATTACCTCGGGGACACGGAGATGGATGACTTCACCCGTCGTACGTAGCGCTTCGTCTCGACCTTCGAGGAAGAGGCCGCCATATCCACCATTCATATTCTCATCATCATTGTTCTTCTCGTCACAATTGCTGGTGCAATTGTCCGTATATCCAGCGCCTTCATGCCAGGAGGAAACGGCCAGCGGGGTTTTCTCATGTCCGTATCGTTGATGGCTCCAGCGATGTTCAGTTTACGTTAAAAAATGCTTCACTCTGCGTAAAAAACAAATTTAAATGACGATAACGTTTACAAGCCAAGCGTGAATATGTTCAAGTGGTAAATTTTGTCTCAAGCAATATTCAGTTTACGTTAAAAAATGCTTCACTCTGCGCCAAAAAAAACAAATTTAAATGACGATAATGTTTGCAAGCCATGCATGAAAATGTTTAAGTGGTAAATTTTACCCTCAATTTATTTCTTTTAATAGTGACTGTTTTCGTCGATGCGCTAAACTTAGCGCTTGTGCGCCTAACTTAGCACTGGAGTTTTTGTGATAGCAGAAAATTCACCGGCAGTGATGGGATCGATCTTAACTTCATATATTAACGGAAGTCCGTCCAAACAACTGTGTTCATTGGCTCTTTTTTGCGCTATCTGTTCTCGATCCTCGGCAAATATAATCGCGTATTGAATTAATCAACAGGGCATGCCACATCGGTTGATGTTATAGATCTTCAGAAATAATAATCGCGTATTGAATTGATCAACAGGGCATGCCACATCTGATGATGTTTTCGATCCTCGGCAGTGATATTCACGCATTGAATTAATCAATGGTATTGCGACATAGTTTTCATGTACATGTAAATTTATTCTTTTGAATGACGGCATGAATCAATTTTACTGATAATTTGATACTATTTTGTAGCTCACTACGTGAACTGCGTAATTTTTAACAAATAAAAAGTCAAATGTTCAGTTTTAATAAAAGAATAAAAAATACACTTCCGGAGAATTCAATAACCTTTCCCAACTGAATCGTCTTAATCATAACAATACTAATAATGTTCGTATAACAAAATTTGGACATTATTATTTTCAAATCATAGAGAAAACTTGAAATGTTTGAAGTTGTCTAAACGCAAATGTACGGAAGAGAGGAATTGCATAAACATTGTATGCAATACATTGCATTAAGTGTATGCATACGTTAGTGCAACACGAAAAGTTGGATGCAACTTAATTATGTCGAATTGATTTACATTTCTTCTGTTGATTAATACCCTTGATTTAAATGCGCATGAAGTAAACTTTTTGTTTATTGAGACATGTAGTTTTTAAGACCGTTCTCATTAAGCTTAAAGATGTACGATGTTTACAGAATTGTGCCAAACTTCTTAAAATATACGATATTACTAGGGATAAAATGTACATATCTCAAAACTTGTTTATTTTATGTGTTTAACGAAAAACACACATTCAAGAATATTACGGTACCTTCAAATGAACTTAAAACAGATTATTGAATTTCAAATGTGTTTTTAACCCATGAAATTTTGTCTGTAAAATTTTTACAGTATAAAGAACGAGTCTTTTTGATTGCATTGCATCAGGTTTTGTGGCACAAATGTTTTAATGAATGAACCAGTGAGTTAAACTCTGATAGATCCAGTGAATTGAACTGTGAATGAACTATATTGAATGAACCAGTGAACGAACCAGTAAATAAACCATGGAAGGAATCAGTGAATTAAACTGTGAATAAACCAGTGAACGAACCAGTGAACGAACCAGTGAACGAACCAGTAATGAACCAGGGAAGGAACCAATGAATTAAACTGAGAATGAACCAGTGAATGAAGAAGTGAGCGAACCAGTGAATGAACCAGTGAACTATACTATGAATGAACCAGTGAACGATCCAGTAGATGATTCAATGAAGGAACCTTAATTTGAATGAACCAATGTATGATCCTACATGAACCAAGCTCCACTTTGATGCACTTATATGTAGCTTATATAGGTATTCGTGAATGCATTTTCACTTCCCGCGTTTTATTCCAATGCAAATATTCGTTTAATATTATGCCGCACAATTTGAATATTTCCCACAGCTTCTTCTTCAATACAAACTTCGTGCACTACGCAATGAGCTTCATTTACAGACTTTATATCGCACATAACACCAAAATTTCAATTTAAAAATTACAACTTAATTACAGTCATGTATATACACAGAGTCCCAATCATTTCATCGACTTCAATTATATTTATAACTCTAATTAATTAAAAAGTTATATAGTTATATTATTACTCTAAACTACTAGAAAAACTACAAGATTCCTGCAAAACTTTTCTATTTGTCACATTTATCGAAATATTCACGTAATTTATTCACGCATCACGATGTTAAACTTTATTGCCATATATGCTCTATTAAATGCGATGGTTTTTATGGACGCTTGCCGAGACACTGTAATCAAAGTTAGGTTCTTGATCTTAATCTCGTAAGGCCTACTTCATTTTCATAGCACGTGGGACAGCCTACAATTTTTCTCTGCGAGATGAACTCTGATATTTGTGTCATGTGAGATATCAGTGAAATGCACGCAGCTTTCCATCCCAGAGCGAGACTTTGGTGTTCATTTTCTACGTCAATAATAATAATAATTTATATTATTAATTCTTTGTTTCATCAATAATTAGAATAACCTGAAAAAAAGTTCTACTTCATTTTTATTTGCCATGTGCATGTATTCTGAATTTTTTTTTATTCATGACTCGAATGACTCAAGGGAAAGCATGGAATTTTTCATTCAAGCGCATGAAAGCGTTGAATTTTTTTTCATTCAAGCGCATGAATTCTTTGTTTTCTCGGTCAATGATAGAATCGAAGAAAAACTTTCCTGTTTTTTTTCGTCATTTTCATGCGCATTTATTCTTGTGTTTGTAAAAAAATACCTTCTTATCTCATAAAATCCCTTCATGTAAAAATTCCTTCTTCTCTTATAAAATGATTTCTTATAAAAATTCCTTCTTCTTTTATAAAATCCCTTCTTGTAAAAATCCCTTCTTCTTCTAAATCTCGAACTAATATCTCACCTCCACATAAAGCCATGGAATGCAGGCAAAAAAATTTAAAAATTGTATTTTATTTATAGATCGACTGTGAAACCTGCTTGCTATAGATAGGGCGAAGTATAGCTGATTCTCCTGTTTTGTTCTTGTTGCGAGACCTAATTGACAAGATTGCCAAGTGCTTGGCATATGCAATACCATCGAATTTTCACCACTTTACGGGCGTGGTGCATAGGAATAAATAAATTATTTCTAAAATAATTAATTAATTAATTAATTGATGTGTCTCCTTATGTATCTCAATGAAGCATATAATAAAAAAGCTATGTATATTTTTATCGAGCTTAAGCAAGCATGAAAATTATTAAAATTTTTCTATTGATAACAAACTTTACCTAGCATATATAATTCGGCAACATGTGGATATTTTTATCCAGTTTTACCCAGCATATGATTTAATAAAATATTTATTTTTTATGCGTTACTAACTTATGATTGAATAATATGTTTTTAGTCTTAGTTATATTCAATTGAGTTCATTAAAAAACTAGGTATTGAAATTCCTGTATATTTTGTATTATTTTATATCATATTATATTATATTTTGAATTTTTTTTCATTCAAGCGCATGAATTCTTTGCTTTCTCAATTAATGAAATAATGAAAGAAAAACTTTCCCGTTGTTTTTTTTCATGATTTCCATGCGCGCTAATTCTTGTGTTTTATTCGAAAATATATAATAATTATAGGCAACTATAACATTTTTTTTCATCTCCTGTACGCACGATGTTTCTGTTTATAGGCAAAAAGTATAACTAAATATTTTTTTATAATATTTTTCCTTATTGATGTGCACATTTCTCTGGTTATTTATTCCCATTTTGCAAATTACAAAAAAAATATAACTCAGTACTCACTGCAGTGAGTGACAGAGAGGGCATTTTCTCGTCGACGAAAACGTGAAGTCACGGACGGACAGACGGACGGACGGACGTACAGACAGACAGACGGACAGACGGACGGACGGACATGGCGAGCAAAATAGCGCATTTTTCCCACAAATGATAAAATGCGCTAAAAATGCACCATGATTAGCCATTGCAGTAATCGTTCTGTAGGCAACTTCAGCAGTGTACTGAGTCTCCAATAATTTCTTCTTCTCTTATAAAATCCCTTTTTGTAAAAATTCCTTTCTCTTTTATAAAAATCCCTTCTTATAAAAATTCATTTTTCTCTTATAAAATCCCTTCTTATAAAAATTCCGTCTTCTTTTATAGAATCCCTTCTTGTAAAAATTCCTTCTTCTTCTAAATCTCGAACTAATATCTCACCTCCACATAAAGCCATAAATGCATGCAAAAAAACTGCATTTTATTTATAAATCGACTGAAAAACCTGCTTGCTATAGATAGGGAGAAGTATAGCTGATTCTCCTGTTTTGTTCTTCTTGCGAGATCTAATTGACAAGATTGCCAAGTGCTTGGCAGGTATGGTCTACGTTGCATGGCATTTGGCAGGTATGGTCTGCTTTGACAAGATTGCCAAGCGCTTGGCATGCATTGTCCACACAGATTGGCGCTTGACAGGTATGGTCTGCACAGGTTGGCCCTTGGCAGGTGTGGTCTACACAGGTTGGCGCTTGGCAGGTATATGGTCCACACAGGTTGGCGCTTGGCAGATATGGTCTGCAAAGGCTGGCGCTTGGCAGGTAAATGGTCTGCACAGGTTAGCGCTTGGCAGGTACGTATATGATCTACACAGGTTAATTGGCGCTTGGCAGGTGTGGTCTACACAGGTTGGCGCTTAGAAGGTATGGTCTACACGGGTTAGCGCTTGGCAGGTGTGGTCTACACAGGTTGGCGCTTANATCGACTGTGAAACCTGCTTGCTATAGATAGGGCGAAGTATAGCTGATTCTCCTGTTTTGTTCTTGTTGCGAGACCTAATTGACAAGATTGCCAAGTGCTTGGCAGGTATGGTCTACACAGTGTGGCGCTTGGCAGGAATGGTCTGCCTTGACAAGA